TGTTAGGGGAAACGCAACGGGACAAGGATGAAAGTTAAGGCAGAAAAAGTCCAAGCAGAGAGGGCGGCAGGGGTGGTGGATGGGTCCAACAAACACCAACTTTCACCGGAGAGAGAGGTGTTTGCATCTCGTAAGATTCTAAAGCCAAACCCTGTTCTTTTTTCCTAAACCTAACCACATGTGTTTGAGGGGAAAACAACCCAACATAAAACAGAAGTGTATCTTGAAAGAAGACAATGCATGTAACAGGCAGAACTTGACACAGTGTCCCAGTACTTCAACAACCAACACACCCAGGGTACCTTGCACGTTGTATGTGGACGTGGAAAGTCCATGACCAAAATGTCAATATGTGACGAGGTCGGAGTGAGAATGTGTTTTGTCCATCTACGTCCGAACCCTCACCTATGATCATGAGCTCAGGGTAGTGACTGAAAGAATATGATCATGGATACAAGCGGCCAAAATGAGTTTCCTCAGTGGGATGTCTGGGCTCAACCTTAGAGATAGGGTGAGGAGCTCAGACCTCCAGAGGGAGCTCAGAGTAGAGCTGCTGCTCCTTTGTGTCGAAAGGGGTCAGTAGAGATGGTTTGGGCATCTGATCAGGATGCGTCCTGGGAGCCTCCAGTTTGGGAACGTATTGGGTTCCCACAGGAGGAGCTGAAAAGTGTTGCTGGGAAGAGGGACGTTTGAGGTGCTTTGCTTGGCGTGCTGCCCCGTGACCCGGCCCTAGATAAGTGGATTAAAATGGATGGATGGCGATGATATCCTTATGATGAACCTCTTTGGCAACAATATTGTGTAGTGAAAATGTGATATTGTGTCAGCCTTTGTTTGGGGCCATGGTGATACTGTGACTCAGTTTAATTCAATTCAACTTCATTTATCCCTGCAGGGGCATTTGGAGGCAGCTACTGCATTTATATAAACTTTTTAAAGCTGTACTGTTTTGATAAAAACTTATATGGACATTGACGTTTACGTTAATGCACAGTGGCGTGCATGCTAACGTCACTGGCACACTGTACATTATCAGTTAAAGCCAGGAGGAATAAATAGTCAAATCGCCCAAAAAAGAAGAAGAGAAAAAAAACACCCACTGTTTATCGCAAAAGTAAATAATCACAGTGTACAAAACTTATTTGCACTGGTAATAAATAAACAAATGAATGACATAAATAAACAGGCAGATAGACTGTGGTGACGTCCTGAAGGCAGAAATGAGAATTAACATACTGAGCTAAGATACGGAAGGTTCTCTATGTATTGTCAATTGTATGTAGTGTACGTATAAACCTGCATTAGTTGTGTCTTTTTCTGACCCCACTTAGAGCTGTTGTTGCCACGGTAACAGCTAATGGAAAGCCAAATAAACGTGAAGAAAATGTCCTTATTTTCTCGCTATCAAGGTCTAAAGCTCAATTTGGTTCCCTTAAAGATAGAACTGCAAGAGCCCCCCCCCCCCACAGACAGACACACACACACTGACCATTGAGTACCACTCCGTTAAACAGCCACAGACTCCTAAAGCGATTCTAATCATAACTGCCTGTGCCCCCCTAAAAATGACGTTTTTATCACAGATTCCACAAAGTGCATTTTAATGCCTCCACCTTCAACAGGGAGAGAGCCCGCGTGTGTTCTGTCTCTCATTTTTCATCCTGTCTCTTGGGTGTTTTCAACAGCCAAATTACAGAGTGAAGAAATCTATCTGCCGTTGTAACGTGCAGGAGATTGGAAATGAAAAAATGCTCCATGCTGGAACGCCCTCCAAGCACATACATATTCATGCCGTGGAACGCCACATCCATCATGAATTTGAAAATGAGAGTTAATTTGTGTCTGTCTGTGTTTCTATATTTGTGTGTACACCTCTTTTCTTACTTCTGGAGGCCACCGTCTTGTGTTGAGTAGAAGCTAATGAGTATGTAGCGTTTCATGTTTGTCCATCTCCCCCCCATCCACTCTCTGGAGGGTCCGCCGCCACCATTCAGGCCTGCTTTATATTCCAGCTGAGGCTGGAGAATAAGCAGCGTAGGGACACTGTGTCTGTATGAATATACAACTCTGTAAACATACACCTCATGGCTCCCTGCGCTTGCTTATGATAAGTTATCTGTTCACCTCCTCGTGCACCTCCAACCACAGCACTGCCATGAATATGGAGATGAAACTGCGAGGAGGTAAAGGTGGGGCATCACTTGGGTGGGGATCTTCAAGTGGAGATATGTGTGTGAAGGAGAAAACAGGGCAGAGAGGCTTGATTCAGTGCGGAGAAATCCCCAAACTACCCATCAGCATAAATCTATTACAATTCACCGTAGGCCTGCTGACCTCAAATATAACAAGCTGTCACTACCAGTGTGTGTGTGTGTGTGTGTGGCTGCATCTGTGTAGGCTGAGCCTCCTTCATGACTTGAATGCAGTATATGACACTTGTTGGAGAATGACACATTCAGTATGTGCGTGTGCATATGTGATATTTGGCAACATGCTCCTATTCCTTATAGACGTCCTCTATTTGTTGGCAGCGGGCGACATCACTGCTGCGGCCTACTTCTCGTGTCCCACTGCGAGAGGAGATTTTTCCAATGACATCTTGATCTGCTATCAGCCCACAATGTTATGGACTATTTCCTGAAGTTGTGTTGCCATTCAGGGCTATTTTATTATGGCTGCAAATTGCTTCAGATTGCACTTCGGTTTGACGTGTATGCTGGAAAAACATCATGTGTAATTTCTCTCATATTTGTGAAACAACTTATTGGTAATTTTCTTCCTGAAAATGACCTTATTTTTGTTATTTTTTTATTTTCCCTCATGCCTGATGTTGCGTCATGTGAAAATATATGAAATAAACGAACCAGGAGATGACTCATGCTTTTTCAAGTAGCTTTATTTCCAAACTGGAGAAGGATGATGACAGATGGGGGATAGAGGATTGTAAAGCTCAGACCATGCAGTTTGGTCCAAACACAGTAGGAGAAGAGACAATACAGGCAGTTTCAGGGGAGAAGACGGTGATCAAGAGGCAGATTACTGCATCTGGCACCTTGAAGCCAAAATTCATACTTTTTATAAAATAAACAAAGCTGCAGTCTCACCGCATAAAGCCATGGTTGAGGAGGGTTTGAGCAGCGTTGCAACTCATATCGGAAACGACCATGGATTCATGGCCTCTGTGGCTATTTTTGTTATAATTGCGTTGCTATAGCTGTTTATTTCTGGAGAGAAAATAACCATTTCAGATGAGGGCAGGGAGCAGTTGTGTAAGTGCTCGCAGCTCTTACTCTCAACCATTTTGCTTTATCAGTTATTGGAATTGCCAAGCAGCACTGTGTGGTATGGATTGTAGCCTTAATGTCCCGCAGAAAACCTTCAGATCATCCAGCTGAAACTGGCTATGGGTGCTATTGACATTTTCATGTTCGATTACTTATTTCAGGAAAAAGTTTGACAACAGTGCCGTAGAGAGATTTTCTTGCGTTACGCTTGTATCTCTGATCGAACACTGCGATAACTAGATGAAACAACGACAAACGTTGCATTGTAGGCTCTGCATTGTGTGCAAAGTTCCATCATTCCAACACAAATACGCCCCCCAAGCTCAAATGTAGCTCAACCTCCACAAAGCAAGAGTCGATTTTGCTGTTGTTGAAGATATTAAAAATCTGTACAGTGTTCTCACTCTTTGATATCACTTCCACTTTGCTCGACTTTCAGAGCAAAAGCACAGTAACTGAACAATAAATAGGTAACAGACAGAAAACACAAAATAGTTTGAAATAAATAATACAGTGTTTTCAATCTTTGCCTCCCGTCACATACACCAAATATAAAGAAATACTTTGTTTAAGCAACACAAAGCCAGATATCACTGAGTCAGGCTGGTGTCCTGAAAGGCTCTTTGGTCCCTTGAGGGTGATCACCATCGGCGGATTATGAGACAGTGGGCCCCTGGGCTCAGATACGCAAAAGGCCCCTCCACCTCTCCTACACAGGAGCAAGACGTACAGACTTTGTGGTCATTTTCTGTGTCTTGATAGTCACTTTGTGTTGTCTTGTGGTAATTTTGTGTCTTTTTTTGGTTGTTTTGTGTCTCCTTGTGATCATTTTGGATTGTTTTCTGTATCTTGATAGTCATTTTGTGTCTTCTTGTGGTAGTTTTGTGTCTCTTTGTGGTCATTTTTGTCTCTTTTGGTCATTTTGTGCCTCTTTGCGGTCACTTTATGTCTCTTTGTAGTCATTTTGTGTTTTCTTGTGGTCTTGTTGTTTCTCTTTGTGGTCATTTTATGTCGTTTTTGGTCAGTTTCTGTGTCCTGATAGTCATTTGTGTCTCCTTGTTGTCATTTTTTGTCTCTTTGTGGTCATGATCTGTGTCTTGACAGTCATTTGTGTCTTCTTGAGGTTGTTTTGTGTCTCTTCATGGTTGTTTTGGCTGTTTTTGAAGTTATTTTGGAGTCTCTTTGCTTCTACTTTGCATCTCTTTGTGGTAATTTTGAGTCTGTTCCTGCTCTGTACTTTTTAATTTGAGCAACATTTAGCAGGTGAAGGCCCAGGTGCACACTTTTGGCACCTAGCTCTGTGAACAGTAGGCCCCATTCAGTAATCCTTCCATGGTGATCACTAAAAAGCCATGTACTCAATATCACTGATAAACACTGACTATAAGTTCAGTAAGACTTTCTCAATGTAGCGATATACCACTGATCTGTCCATCAAGTAAAAACATTCACAAAACGATGCCTGCACCAGGAAATCTGGTCTCTGTTCTTATCAATATTACAGTAGATCTGTAGTACATAGCAGCCAGAGGAGGCACTGACACTCTCTACAGAAAAACAAGTCAACACACACACACGCACACACACACACACACACACACACTCATACAGGTCAGCAGTATTAGACAATTAGTAAATTGAAGAGTTGCTGCTGACAGCCCTTGTCCCATTGAGTCAATAAGCCTGTGTGCTGTTCACAGTCACAGACACATTTTCTTTTTTTTTTTTTTTGTCGAGGAAGCTGACAGAGCCTCAGTCTCATGGTGAGAAAAATAAATGTACCATTCATCCTCTCGCCTCTCAGCTATAAACCAAATGTGCCATGTAGAGGTCCACCGCAGGCGATGATGTGCCAGAGGGAAGGAGTGACTCAGCCAAATGGCTCTCAGAATAACCCATGTAGGCGTAATTAGGGGTAACATTACACATCCATAATTGCATTGTTCATCTGTCCTTTACAGTCAATGTAAATGTCTACTTGCTTATTCAGGTGTCTGGAAAACAATGTTGAATAATAGGATTTTTTTTTCTTTGTCAGTCTTCAGCTGATGCACCTCCCGTTAGATACTCAGAATAACATCTGAAGCAGCTAAAAATTGATGTGATTGTTTCTTAAATGTCCAAATATTGAGTTAATCAGAGGGATGGCTCAGTCCAGTCCGGTGATGTGATCGTCCAGGTTAAGTTAAAAAGCAAGAAACAACAAGCTAAGAGGATGAGGAGGGAGGGTCACACTGTTTTACTTTCACATCTTCATATCACACATGTGGTTTTCACTCAAGTCCAAAATCCCCTACACTCCGGCTATTTCTGTACTTCATGAAAGATAAAAGCCGAGAGTGTCATTACAAACAATCTGAGAGGCCATTATGACCCACACCAAGCCAGGAGCAAGGTGTCTGACGTGCAGACTTTCCTCATGAAAGCCCACAAGTTCAGTTTGAAAGGGTGCCCTTGTCTATGCCGTCGCATTAGAGATCATCAGAAACCCTTTTTTTGTTGTTGCTGCTCTTTTAGATAAAAATCTGGGAACACATGTTTGCCCTGCAGCCAGGTGAATTAAGACTGCAGACGTAAGAAATCACCACTAACTTTGTGTGCTCCTTGTGCTCTGTATTGATAAATAAATGGCCCTAGGCTCGTAGAAATCTAAGGTCACTTTTCCTTCTTTATACTTGTTTTCTTTCCCCATTAGTCCTGGAGTCTTAAATAACTACAAAACCGCATATATAATACATTAAACTGTCTGTATTTTTAGCCAGGAATTCGTTCTCAACTGTTTTCCTGCTTTCCTCAAGACCTTAAGTTTTATGTGTACATTTCTTCCATGGTTCTGCACCCCTCTGTATCCCAGCATTATCCATTATTCAATGTGATCTGCAGATAAAACTTTGCAATCAAAATCTTATCTGCTATACTGGAGTGCTAAGCAGTGAAGTGTCTGGTGCTGTCTCTGATCCATGTCCTGTTTTCATCCCACACCCTGTAAAAATGTGTTTCTGCTGCACACTAGATTTCACAGTCCAAGTTTCATGTTTGCGCACACTGTGGCTGTAAAAGTGTGGCTCTCAGTTCTGAATTTTATGCTGGAATTTCCACAGTTCAACATATTTTTTAAAACAGCCCTTTGAGTGTTCTGACAAATGGAAATGATTACATTTCTTTAAATGTCCTTGTCCTGTACAGTGGGTTTGTATGCTAGAAGAAAGTACCCTTGGTGCCTCTGCACAGTATCTTTTTGAAGGCCTTTCTGAAGTCTTTGTTGAAGATGGTGTATATGACTGGGTTGAGTGAGGAGTTGCAGTAACCGATCCAGAAGAAAAACTTAAAGAGAGGGTCAGGGATGGCGCATGTCTCCGGGCACACTGCCTGCAGAGAGTAGGAGAAGAAGAAGGGGAACCAGCACACCACAAAGACACCGATGACCACCGCCAAGACGAAGGTGAAGCGCTTCTCTCTGTTGACCATCGCTTTGCGCCTGGCTGCTCCAGGGGTGCTCTCTGGTTTCGACTTCCTCCCTGGCACCAGCCGAGCCCCCTTTGAGGTCGCGATCATGTCCCGGTAGCGCTTGACCGAGGCCGGGGAGTGGACCCCTGCAGGTGACCCGGGCATGCTGGTGCTGCCTCGGCCTCCTCCATGGCTGTGCTCCATGTCACTCTCTGTGCTCGAGCTGTCACCATTGTTATTATCAGCCTTTTTCCCTCCCTGCCGCTTGCCTTTCTTTCCCTTCTCTTTAGTCTTGGCAGGGGCAGACTGAGGCACAGAGGGGGGAGTTGTGGGGCCATGAGGGGAGGTATCAAGGGAGGCTGTGACAGGGGTCATGGCTAGAGAAGGAGATGGAGGTTGCAGGAGATTATTGGTGGTGGTGTTCTGGGTGGTTTGAGTGTCTCCCAGGGTGGGAGAGGGAGTGATGGCGAGGGTGGGGGGTCTGGTATTGGAGGCTTTGGTTGATGAAGGGGGTGTGCTTTCTTCATCATCCCTCCCGTTGGCTTGCACATGTCGTGGAGGCTGACTGGGTGTAGCACAGCCGACCCCATCCTTCCTGGGCTCTCCTGGTGGGCATCGTGTTCTTTGTTTGGCAATTTGGTAGATTCTGATGTAGACCAGGATCATGATGAGGCAGGGGGCAAAGAATGAGCCGATGGTGGAGTAAAGAATGTACCAGCGCTCATCATTCAGCTGGCACTGAGGTCCTCTGTCAGTCCCCGCATTGCCTCCCTCGCTTTTGTTGAGTGAGAGCAGAGGAGGGAAGGAGATGATGGCAGAGATGAGCCACACCACCACAATAGCGGCTTTGATGCGTTGGGGAGTCCGCTGACGCCCGTAGGTCACCCTGGAAATGGACAGGTAGCGGTCCAGTGAGATGGCGCATAGGTGCACAATTGACGAGGTGCAGAACAACACATCCAGCGCCAGGTAGATCTCACACCACAGAGACTTAAAGAACCAGTAGCCGAGCAGTTCATTGGCCAGAGAGAAGGGGATGATGAGTGTGGCAACTAAGATGTCTGCAGCAGCCAGTGACACTAAGAAGAGATTCTGCGGTCCTCGGAGGGAGCGGCTGGTCAGGACAGCGATGATGACCATGATGTTGCCCACGATGGTGAAGAGGACCATCAAGGTTATGGCGGTGGCGAAGGCCGCCGTGGCTTCAGGGGAGTAAGGGGCGAGCTTCAGGATGCTCTGGTTACAGGGCACCGAGGCTCCGGCGCTGCCCACACTGCTGTTCCAGCCGTTCAGCTCCATGGAGCAGCCGTTCTCCAGAACCGAGGCCATACTGGGATTATCTTTCCAGGACTCTTTATAGATAAAGAATATGTTTGATCACTAAATAAACTGTGTTTAAAGAATGTATTTAACTTTTTATAAGGTGTTAACAATTGTGTCTCAGATGATCATACATTGTGCGCAATAAATGCAGTGTTTATTTTCATAGTACATGTGATTATAATAAATCATAATTATATATTTACCTCAGATGCTCTGGCTTTGTCCCTGTGTTGTTTCCAAACGAAAGCTCCCTTGCATCCTCCACGGCAGCCCTTCCAAGTCCATTTTAAGCATACAAAACAGTCCTGGGCAATGCGTCAAGACACGGATCACTGCCTTTCAATTAAGAAGATTTGCCACTTTGTAGAGAAGATTTCTTTCCGAAACAGAACACGAGTAAATTTTCGTGACGCTGACTGCTGTGCACCAGCCTCTGCGGATTTACATTACAGCCCGAAAAACTTAAAACTTCCTTAGCGCACGGAGTTTGGTCCTTTTTTTCCTCAGTGAATAAATTACTGCTTTGAAGGTGGGGATATTTAATTTATGATAATATAATTTGGTGTCATTTGCAGCGAAGCGACATTGTGTTTAAGAGCTCAGAGACGAGCAAATAATCTCGACCCTTGTGCGTTCTCGGTGCGTCCTCGTTTGGAGACGCGCGTATGACTGACAGTCTCATCTGAACAGCGAGCACAGAATGGTTTAGATAAAGTGAAATAAAGTTACAATGAGATATTTACAGTGATTTACAGATGAAAAGATACTAATGCTTCCCCGTGAAGGACAGCCTGACTGATGGCAGCGTTTCCAATCAAACAAAGTTAACCTCAAGCTCTCCAGCTCTGCGCATGAAGGCAGATATGAAGTCAAAGTGCGTAGCCGCGTAGTTTCTTCAGTGGTGAAACGATCCCCGCAGAGCAGGTTCAGTCTGTGAGTCTCTGGAGCTGTTTCTCGCTCCTTCTGTCTCCTCAGAAGTTCACCGGGATGCCAAGGTACAGTCGCTCCGCTGGCGCACATCACAGGCTTCCTCACAGAGGCGCAGCAGCATCTTCACTACTGAACAGGACCTTACGACGAAATCTAATGAGTGGGGTGCCTCCCATCTCCCTCCTGCGCTACTTTTTAGACCCGGTGATGTCACTGTGGAGCTGTGGGCGTCATGGGATCCTTACTTTCTCTCTCCCTGTAGCCCTCCCTCCCTCGGTCTCTCTCTCCCTCTCTCAGATTATATGTATAACCGAGCGGCTCAACCGACGCACTTATATTAGGAATGGCTTGTTGGGTGGTACTGCTCCGGTCAATTAACTCCGCGGGACGCTGAGGTGTCCAGCTGAGAGCGCTGGGTTGATGTCATATGCTTTACGAAAACATTAGTTTCATTCCAGGGACTCCTGCACTTTTTAAAGCTACTCCGTCATCATCATCACCTTCATCATCATCCCTTTCAATATGAGGCACAGCACCTTTGGCTGATTAATGGCTTTTATATAGGTCGGCTGTGCGATCTCTGCATCTTTAGACTTTCTTCTTAACACCAGTTTCCATGTAACCTCCGACAGCTCCTGTCATTTAGGGCCAATAAACGTCTTCACTGCAGCAGCTGGAGGTCGATTGAGTGACTGAAGGGCACTGATAAACAACAAAAGGTTAAAGTTAGGACTGATGTTCGAGGTGTACAGGACAAACACACATTCATTTGTGATGCAGGGGTAAGATTTGTGAACATGCTGCAGTGATTTGTCATGGTCATTCTTGATAGAGACTGCTAGAGCGCCATAAAAGGGCAATGGCGATCCCAAAGGGGGGTGAGAGAGGGCCCTGGCCCCTCTGGTGAAAACAATTGGAGGCCTGTCTTTAAAAGGGTGTCACTTGTCAGTTCAGAGGAGGACCCAAATGCAGATCAACAGACAGTCTGAGTTTCTAACAAAAAGCAAGCATTAATGTAGCTGATTGAAAACATCCAGTACAGGGAGGCAACTCAAAGTCCAAATGAAAGCAGAACAAAACCAAACTGAAAGCCAACTGGGAAAAACACGATGAACAGGGATGAGAACAGGGATGAGCACAGGGATGAATGCAGGAACGACCACAGAATGCACCCAGGAGGAACACAGACAAACTGACAAAGGGAAACCCACAGGTACATAAACACAGAAAACTAATCACAAGAACGAGACACAGCTGGAGCAGGAGGACACGGGCACAAGGAAGGAGATGGGGATTGGCTGACAACAAGGGTGTGAAGAGGAACACTAGGGTGGAGCAAACAAGACTAATACAGAACAGGTGTGAAGGGAAGACTCTGGGAATAGGGAAGGACTAACGAGACCGGTGTGACAGAAAAAAGGCTGGAAAACACAGAAAGACAGGAAGTAAGACATGACACATGAGGAGAGAATCTACAAAATAAAACAGGAAACAGATTAAACATGAGTGAATAACATGAAACAAGGAACACAAACAGAAAACTCCCAAATAAGTCCATAGGATGACAGAATATAAACAAACTCAGAATCATGACAAAGGTTGTACGGCACTCATTTTGTAAGCTAGCGCAAAGGTAGTGGTATTTTTGGAAAACTCGACCTAATGCCTTGTTTTGTGTCCGTATTTCCTTATAGTATGCGGAGTACACCCCTAGTGTTCAACTCAAGGAATTGCATCTCTTTCTGGATGGAGAAAACATTATTGCAGAAAAGGCCGTTCTCCACCATCCAGTCTTGTGGAATATGCACATTCAGCGGTACAGACACAAAAACAGGACCAATAACGCACAGCGACAAATAAGTGAGGAGGTTGGCCTGTCAGGTGTTTACAGGGGCGTAACACCAAAGTCTGGGCCCTGTGCATGAGCAGTCTCTGTGGGCCCCCCAACCTTACTCACTTGATTCACGTCTCCTTCATAAACTGCATTTTCAAGAAGTCAGTTTGCTTTCTTGCCCTTTTCCTGTCTTTTCTTAATTTGAACTCTGATTTTCTGTCTCATGGAAAGAAAATGACAATGTAGGTTGGTGCTCCACGAGCATTAGCAGTCACCTACTCTAGCTGCATTTAGAGATGATTCCTAGCTAGCTAGCTAGCTATTAACTATTTTGCGCCTGTAATGCCTCATTTCAACTTACGTATGTGACTGGTGCCCATAGATCCGTGAATACATGGATGATGCCCCTAGTGTCCAACGCAAGGAAGTGCATTTCTTTATGGATGATAGAAACCTGACACTACCTGTAGCCATGGGGGAGAGGCTAATTTTATCCGTTTATTGCCATCCAGTGGTTTGGGTTTTCTCCAGCCCTGTTGAAGACCAACAGTGGTGGAAACATGTTGGCTTTTTAATGAGTTGGCCATTATATTAAAGGCTTTTTAATCTAATCTTTCCTTCCTCATTCTCATTTTTGTTTGGAGTGCCTGGATTCTTTTCCTGTTTGCAGCGGTTTGGGGTATCACTTGGAACATTACTGGGACAAAAACAGGATCAATATTGCATAGCAACAAATAAGTGAATATGTTGGCCTGCCAGGTGCATGTTTTGTGAAATATCTAATTAAAAAGACGTATGAATGGCAATCTGACTGAATATAATGTATAACCATATTTTAGCAGGATAACATTCACATTGTGTTAAAACTAGATAAACAAGTTCTTTTTAATCACACAACTCACTTGTCAATCAACACAGGCAAATGAATTGAAGGAAATAGCCTGTTAGTCAGTTAGCAACCTGTTGGCAAAGATAGCAGACTGTCAGATGGTCTCTTCAAAAAATTCAACGCAAAAGTTCGATTTTTTTTTAAAACATGCTCGAGGCAAATTCTGAAAATATTATGAAGGGGAGGAGCTTCGCAGGGACATCAGATATCACAAAGTTTCCCATAGGAATGAATGGACTTCCAGTTGCCATGTCTCTGTACACATACGAAAGTGGAAACAAGGCATACGGGATGAGAGGGGCCTCAGAGAGCGTCAAGCATTTTCTATGTAAAGTTCTAAGCTCTTACAATGGCTGAAGGGAGCTGTATTACATTCCTCAGTCTGTTAGATAATTCATTTTCATGTCAATTTCCCGTAGCACGATGCATACGGTCTGCTCAAAATCTGCCGCAAAAGTTTATTTTTATTCCACATACTCGAGGCAAATTATGGACGCAATAAACAAAAACCTCCCAAAACCAATGAGGAGTTTTGCAAACACATCAGAGACTACCGAGGTCCTCACAGGAATGAATGGGGTTCCAGTTGACTCGCATATGTACACAGAGTTTTGTGGAAATGAGGCGTAAGTCATCTATCAGTAACAACCTTGTGTGCTGGGATGCTTGTTGGCAAGGGTGGTAAATACCACTTCAAAGCTGGGCAAAATTTTGGAAGGAAAACTTGGCATGTTCATTTTCAGAGGGGTCACTCGAACTCTCATCTTAAGATATCTAAATGAAAATGGGTTCTGAACTTGAGAGGGTTTGTTCCCAGTAAAACTTCTGTTCCCTACAGTTAAGGAACTCCTTCAAATTACAGCTTTATATTTGTCTTTTTAAGGAAAAGAAGAACCTGCTTATTTAAAGAACAATGAATCATCTAAAATGGATACATTACATATTCAAACAGGATAGTTGAGGAACTCAGAATGTTATCTGAACCAGTTTTAGTCTATGCATATAATTAAAATATACATAATTACTGACATTAACTGTAAAATAAGAAACCAAAGTAAATAACTAAGCAACACATTCTCAATCCAACCTAGTCACATATATCGATGATTGGTAATAGACTTTCTACATCCACATATGATGTGCAAGGTACCCTGGGTGCACTGGTTGTTGACGTTCTGGGATGCCGTGTCAAGTTCTGCCTGTTACGTGTATTGTCTTCTTTCAAGATACACTACTGTTTTCACAGGAAATTTACTGTTTACATACAGTCTCTTTCAAAATAAATGCACTTTGCTGGTACAACACCACAAATTTAAATTTCTTTGCCTTCAGCAAATGAAGCTGTAGTGAAAGTTCAGTCAGGAAGACAATACTTTTCATGCTTAGGCTGTAACTTTCTTCCTCACCCTGCTTTTCACTCCTCACACGTATGCTCACGCTCAATCTCTGGCTGTCAGTGTTCGGGGCTGTCACTTGAGTCATCAGCTGTTCTACAGCTGACCTACAATCAACCAATAGCACAGCGACACACCTTCTCCATCAGCCTGTCATCTCACTGCTCCTCACTTTAAATATGGTTCTTTCTCTACCAGTCCTTTCATGCTGCTGCTGTGCATACCCTCCACCTCCCCATCACGGCCTACTCTTCTCAGATGCAGCTTCTATTCGCCTCAGCAGTCATCAACCAAGGTCATCAGCAGCCACCACTGCCAGTGTCTGGACTCCATGGGGGGATTAATCTTGCTGCTGCTCAGATGTCCCACGATCACAAATAATCTCCCTCTGGTGTTGAAGCGCCAAAGACTTTGTTAAAATCATCGCAGCACAAATCATCTGTTAATCAGTACGCTTATATTTTGCATTAAATTTCATCTTTATTTCATTCTTCTGTCTCTCCTGATTGAACAAAAACATGTGGTTAGGTTTAGGAAAAAGGAACAGGGTTGGCTTTATAATCTTACGGGACGCTGGATAAAGGTGTTTGTTAGACACATCCACCTGCCCTACTTGGACTTTTGTCGCCTTAACTTTCATTCGTGTCCTGCTGCGTTTCCCGCTGCCGCTGCCAAGCACAATTAAACTATAACAGCAACCAGCCACGTATCACATTGACGGAGGGCTTTTTCGTCAGTGTCTGACTGCCCAAGCGCCAGATTTCGACGACTTCAGAGTGAGACCAGTTTGAGCTAAATGATTCCTTAACTCTCATATTGACATAGTTTTTAAACTGCCAACTTCAGCAGTATAATCGAATTCCTGAACGTCAGTTACGGCTTTTGGTTTTGGTTTGCCACTCTAAGATATTCAGTGGCCCCATGTGGCCACCCATATGAATATTTTCTGGGGACACCACTGTTAAGAGGTGCTCACTGTGAGCAAGTGGTCAAATCTTTTTAAATGTAGTAAGTAATGTAGTTCATAAATTTA